TGGGTTAACTATTGGCCCATAGCTGGAACCCTAACTGGTGCTACTACCGCAGGTCAGGGAGAACCTGGGACCACCAGAAATCAAGAGGTGTTCCCATGCTCCTCAAAACCTCATGCTCAAAGATCTTCCTGCCGGATGTAATTTATCGTCATACCCAGAACGGGCTTATTGAAAGTGTAGATCTCCCACACAGTTGTTTCTTCCGCTATGGGGCGGTTTTTTGATTTGATTTTGTTTAGCGGCATAAAATCATCTATGGGTTATTTAATGCCAGAATCTAATATTTTGAGCATTGTTTTATGGATTTAGTTAAAGATAAAATGTATTGTTGGTCATTTTGCTATAAAATTTATTGGTAATTCTGTTTGAAAATGTATTGTTGACAATTCTACTATAAATATGTATCGTTGGTAATGTCTTTTTATAAATTAGTGTAATGCTTGTAGTTTTACTATAAAATTGTATATTTATACTTCTATAGTGTTTTGAAGTTCACTATTGGCTCATAGCTGGGGCCATAACAGATGATACCATCCTACGTCTGAAAGGACCTGGGAACAACAGCAGTTAAGAGGTGGTTCTATGCTCCTCAAAAACCATCAAACCTCCAATCAAAGGCCTTGCTGCCTGATGTAGGCAAAGTAGTGGTTCTTGGGAAGAAGGTTTTTGAATGAAACACCGTTCTTACAAAAAAAGTTTTGTTTTATGGCATAACAACCTCAATTGGTTATTTAATGCCGACAAGATTTTTATTGCTGGTAATATGTTTTTCCAAAAATGTATTGCTGGCATTAAAATCTATTTTTTACACTTTCATAGTGTTTTAACCCCAGTTTTGGGTTAAATATTTGCCCATAGCTGGCACCCTAACATTTATTACCACCTCGGGTCACGGTGGGCCTGAGAACATCAGCAAAACCTGTTGCTCAGAGGCCTTGCTGCTGGATGTAGTCTGTCGTTACACCCAGGGCGCGGATGTAGTTTATCCTCATGCGAAGATGTGTAATTAGGTGTCTTATCCCTCTGCAGAGTTTCAGTTGGCTCATTCTGAAGGCCTAGCTAACAAGGCACTTACAAAAGGAATACGTAGGGGATAGGAGTGTTTTAAACGTATGGTCGTAGCAAGAGGGGCGTGGCTTTAAATGTCTGAGCTAGTAGCACAAAAGAAACGTCGCAATATTACTTGCTGATACTTTTGACTCACCCTGTATTTTTCAAGACTCAGTGCCATAATCAATTCTGTAGATTTAGAATCGGACAAGTGTTTCGATATTTACACTAGAATGCCTTTCCAATTCCTGTTATTGTATTTTCAGGTAGAGTCGAAACTCATGCTATTTCGCAGAATGAACTCCACAATTGCCAGTCAATTACGCAATGCTGGTAAAGGTTTAGGAGATATTTCACGGATTATCTATTCCGATGAGAATTATCTTAATCTGACAGTAAAACATAAAAAAATGAAGACAATTCCGAAATAATCGATTGATTGTTTTCTCCAGATTACCATCCGTTTGCAAGTTATTTAAAGCCAGAAAGTATCTATCTATCTATATATATATATATATATATATATATAAAAGAAAAAGGCTTAAACACTAATATTCCATGGTCATAATTTATACCATTGGAATCGTAAATACGATCCAATTCATCAGACCTACAAATTCAAAAAGAAAACAGAAAAAACAACTCCGGAAATAAAAATAGAATATAGAGAGAGTGTAAGTATGAGAGTGTAGGACAAATGTTAGAGCTAAAGAGAGGGGTAACAGATGAGAGAAGGTGGGAGATTATACCTTAACAGAAAGAGAAGTTTTAGAGAGGTGAGTTGAAGACGGTTTAAGTGAGAGAAATATGAATGTTGTCGGATGTCTAATACGTTAAAGATGTAACCGGAAAGGATACATTTCGTGGTGACATACACACACAATAGACGATCTAATCTTAAAGATCAGAAGAAGAGGGAGGGAAAGGAAAAGAAATGAAAAAGTTTTTTTTTTTTTAAATATATATGTATGTGTATGCATCTATGTATATATATTTATATATTTTGCATATGTATGTGTATATTTACCACTAATATTATCTATCTATCTATATATATATATATATATATATATGTTCGTATTTATCCATACATTTATCTATCGCTCCGTCTATATGAATTAGTATACTCCTATTTATTTTAGTCTATTAATATTTATGCTTACAATCTAAAAGATTCTAAGCATTTTAATAACGATTTATTGGTAAAAGTCTTACTAATGAACCCATAGAGGGGAGCAGAATAAGTGGATTCGTATTTGCGCGTAAGTGAATATAACTAACCCAACAGAAATTAGAAATCTGCTTTTCGATTAACAGATCCGTGTCGTCATCTATTACACAACCAGTACATCTAAGCTTACACCATCTTGTATTCGCAAGCGTTCACCCATCTATGTAATGACCAGGTCGACGTTGCTTAAATTCGGTCATCGTACAGGAATCGGTATTTCAGCGGGATAAGACCGTAAGCAATACCGAAATTATGATGAGGTTAATGAAAGAAATGATAATCCTCGACCAACTGATGAGATCTTTCACTAATATTTCAGACACTTGTCATGTCACTATCAAGTAATGAATAGAAACACATCAGGTAATTTGCCAGGCAAAATCTAAGTGGAAAATAACTAAAAAAAACTTTGGGTAGTAAATTAAAATAAGCATACAGAATATCTACAATATAGATCAGTGGTTCTTAACTTATTTTACCCGATGAACCCTTTTTCACCTTAAGTCTGGATGTCATTTCCCCGCTTTCAAAAATTGTCCGACTTAAAAGGTCATTCCAAATAATATGCATATATTTTTAACAATCTTCATTCTTTTCCCTAATAGTAGGTATACATTTACATGGATTATTTTTGTAGTGGCAAAAACACAAGAACTAGTGAAAAGAAAGCCCAGCTTGACCTCTAAGTTGTGCGGACCGATGCACATTGCGAGATCTTATCAAGTCGAGAGTCAATCGTTAACCCTCCTCGATATTCTCATAATCTTTACTTCCTGCTCTTATACTCATATCACATTCACAGAGGCGAATTTCTCACTGGTTGGGAATCCCTGTTGTTTGTTTGCTTCGAGTATAGGTCGACCCTTTCTATAAAGAGTTTATATAGTTTTCTTCGATAAATTTTTTTTGAATACCGTCATCATTAATTTTATGCTAAAAGTTTATTTCAGACTTTAACAAAAACCAAGTATCCACCAAAAACGTCTGTACTCATGTACAAGTCGACCTATCTAACAATCTGCTCCTATATGTAGCTACCTGTTCCTATATATATATATATATATATATATATATATATATATATATATATTATTATTATTATTAATAGAAATCTTATAAATATAAGAAACTATGCTCGGTGTCTTGATTTGCAAATAAACAAGTCTAAAAAATGAAAAATAAAGAAAACTGTTTACTCCTACGGAGTAAAGTTTTAGTGGGGGATGTTATAGTTAATAGACTCTCCCACCTATAATAAGTAGGAGTAGTAGGAGTCGGTCAGGGAGTCGGTCAGTCAGTCGACTGGCTGATCGGTTGAACTCTTTGCCTTCGGGCGGGGAGGAACCCGAACGAGGCTATGCCGAAGGGCGGATTCTCTTTCGGGGAGGTAAACCGACCCTGAACCCGTTTATACGGGTTCAATGGGCATATTTTTGGCCGAGCCCACGGGCTCGGAGATCCCATGTTAAACCGGCCTTGTGCAATATGATGCCCTCGTGGGGGGGGGTGACTAAATATCGTTGGTCAGTCAGTCGATGTCGGACGACCGTTAGTCGGATACTACAAGTATCAGCGACCACCATTATATTTACTGTGCCTTATACCTATTATATCAAGTTCCTAACATTTTGTACGTCGAACCTATTTTAGGACCGACTTAGTACAACTACAAGCCTCCACTGTGAAACTACTCTATAACAACAAGCCAATACCAAACGGAAAAAAACGGTATTTAAAAGAAAGAACCAAGAACATGTACGTTAGCCGAAAACAATCGTCCAGCATGCAAGTCCAAGGCCCAAAGGAAAAAAAAAACACAATGCGAGTACGCAAAATAACTAAATAAAGTGCTCGATACAGTAAATAAAGCAGACCCAGTTAAACCTAGAGAGCCAGACAAACCTATCAAGGTTTCACCTACGCGGATCGTCATCAGGTAAGGCTTGTCTGGCTCTCTAGGTTTAACTATATATATATATATATATATATATATATATATATATATATATATATATATATATGTGTGTGTGTGTGTCTATCTATCTTGTTACATATCGTCCTAATCAATTTTAATCGAAAAATTTATTTAAAACTTAAAGGATAACAAAGCATCCACCAAAAAGCATGTACTCATGTGTAAGTCGACCTTTGATTTATAACCGAGAAATCATTAATCTCTTAGTAGCTTCGAGTATTGGTCCACCCTTTATATAAAGCAGTGGTTTTCAGTCTATTTTGAATCTATTAACCTGTGGCCTCAACCCACCCTGAAATTCGCCCCTAGTGGGAATAACCCACCAGTTAAGAACCACCGCTTTCAATTTCTACTCCAAGCGCAGAAACTTAAATGAACAATAAAAAAAAGTCGGTTTACGAAAGACTTTTTTTTTTTTTTCTCTTCATCTACGCTTGTTCAATGTTTCGTCACCTGCCAGGAAAGTGCCATTTGCCGAAAGTTTCAAAGAATGTCCTTTTATAAAGCGCATCTGCAGCTGGCATTCTTACCGGGGCATCGGAGTAAACGCCAATGATCACTGAAATACACCGATTTCTCGCCTAGACGGAACTAACAGGATGTAACTTCGCAGTCCATTTTCGGAACGGAAGGATGTTAATTCTGCTGCGCCGGAGAAGAACGTGGAAGTTCGTACGAAAACAATTATCCGCTTGAAACAGTTCTAGATTTTCCGTTAAGATATTTATATACTTGTAGGAGTAAATGTCAAAAACTCGAGCTTCTATTTACGTCTATCTATCTATCTATCTATCGCGGCCTGTTCATGTCTATCTATCTATCTCGGCCTGTTCATATCTATCTATCTATCTATCTATCTATCTATCGCGGCCTGTTTATGTCTATCTATCTATTGCGGCCTGTTCATGTCAATCTATCAATTTATCTATCTATTTATCTCGGCCTGTTCATATCTATCTATCTATCTATCTATCTCGGCCTGTTCATATCTATCTATCTATCTATCTATCTCGGCCTGTTCATATCTATCTATCTATCTATCTATATCTATCTATCTCGGCCTGTTCATATCTATCTATCTATCTATCTATCTATCTATCTCGGCCTGTTCATATCTATCTATCTATCTATCTATCTATCTATCTCGGCCTGTTCATATCTATCTATCTATATCTATCTATCTATCATATCTATCTATCTATCTATCTATCTCGGCTTCATATCTATCTATCTATCTATCTATCTCATTTTGTTCATATCTATCTATTTATCTATCTGAATTTATCTATCTATCTACATATTTTAGTTCATATTTATCTATGAATTTATCTATCAATCGGTCCATGCATATTAGTACGCTACTATTTATCTTAATTTATTTTCATATATCTATCTACCTGCTCGTGTATGAATCGATGTATTTTATCTCATATCTATCACGTTCATATCTATCTATCTATCTATCTATCTATCATGTTTACGTCTATCTGTCGATAATGTTCACGTCTATCTATCTTTCTCTCACGTTGTTTTTCACGATTTATCTAGTTATCATGTTATTTTCCTTCTGTTTATCTATCATGTTCTTCCTTCTAATGATCTTTCATGTTCTTTCCTTCCTATCTATCTATCAATCTATCATGTTCCTTTTCATCTATCAATCTATAAATCTCGTTCATTTCTATCATATTCATTAATTTCTTTCTTTCTATCTATCAAGTTCATATATATCTTTCATATTCTTTTTTATCTATCTTTTTATCTGTCATGTCTATTTCTATCTATCTTCACGAATTTGCATCTAGCTATATATCTATAAGCAAAGTTACACACACGTACACACAAACACATACGCCTGTGTGTGTGAAATGTATATATGTTAGCAGTTGCAAGCCTCAGAAATCTAAAATTATATAGAGCTATATCTTTTGAAGATGAAGTTCATAGCTCATGTGATAATTTCGTGCCATTCTTTTGTTTAAATAAACGAATCTTGGGTTATTTTATTAAAACAAATGATAAAGATTGAAACTGATTTGAATTTAAATTATTGTGATATTTATTTACAATAAAGAGCAACATACGAGACCAGATTTTCAAGAAAATATATTTCAGGCTCAGTTTTCTTGTAAAAGTATTCACTTGAAGGGCAATAAAATTACATTCATTTATAAATTTCCTAGCTCGATTCAAAGAAGATAATAAAACGTCATCGTAAACGATATAAGAATATAATGCACCAATTTTTTTTGGACCGCGTGCTTCAGCCGTTGTTATGCTTTTAGATTTTACCAAATATTTGACTCCGTTTCAAGTAATCCTTCAGTTTATGTAATTACTTTCCAAGCGTAGCTTAGATGCGGCACAACGCCGAAAGTATACGACACCCAGTGAGGATTGAACTCACTACCCAGTCGTAATTGTTCTAGCGAGACAAGGTTGCTAGCCATTATACCACTTCGAGGTGCCCAATCTTTCATTTTATGTATATCATATTGGGTAGGTAATGAAACGAAGTGGAAAATCTATGCCGGCAACGCGTTTCACCTTTGTTTCAGGTTGGAATGGGAGAAAAACAATCTGTGTGTGTATGGAAAGTTTGTTGGGATTTTAAAGAAAAATTAATAAATATACTTATCAGATGCCGCGGCCGTAAAGTAATTTTTTTTCTTCTGTCTTTTCTAATACGGGACGCAGGTATCTAATTTTTAACAATACTTTAAACGCACTAGTAACTCAGCGTAACACATTAGGCTAAAATGTCTTATCTGTGGTCAAGTTTGAAGCATCAGGAATTTTTCTCAAATTTATTTGGGCTTCGCTCAAACATATTCTTCCCAATTGTTTGATTGGTTATCGTGGAAGTCTGACCAAATTCTTCTCCTCCCAGATATGGATAAATATCAGGACAGACCGGGTACTATAGCCTTGGATGGCAACTGGTCTACCGCAGAAAGAAATGGCAACCTACTGCAAGAAAAAAAAATCTGCCTCGTCAGTCATGTATTGAAAGATGTATAATCGCCTAAGCGGATATCACGCATGGCATATAACAGACTGAAGACGAAAATTTACGGAAAGTTCTTTAATTCTGAGATCATCTAGAGTAAATTTACAACAAAGTTCTTGCAGCATTTCACCTTTCTCAGTAGATCTTCTATTAACACAATATGGGATATTTAATACGTGTTAATACCCTTGGGAAACGTATGAATCCTCTTCTTCTCCCCTCAGCTATGGGTAAATAGCAGAACAGACCGGGTTCTATAGCCTTTGATGGCAACTGGTCTACCTCAGAAATAAATGCTAACTTACTGCGTGTAAAAATATCTTCCTCGTCAGTCATGTATCGAAAGATAGATGATCGCCTAACCACGTATCACGCATGGCACATAACTGACTGACTGATAACCAAATTTTAAACAAAATACGATAAGTATTCTTTCTGAACGTGACTGACACACAATCGCAGTACATGAACTCACTGAATAACCGCAGGCGAGAATTTTATGTTTACGCCTGCGCAGTACGCTCTCTTGTGCTCGGTGTTGAAATTCACATTCAGGTTCTCGAGATGTTCAACATTGCTGGATGCTTTTCGGATATAACTTCGTTTCTTATCAAAAATCGTGAATACCTCGAGTAATTGCTTTTAGGGGTCATGTAATGAATATGTTAATATTCGATATATGCCGGTAGAATAAATGTTATCGGTGGAGATCGATACCAGAACGACGTTGGTTGCTAGGACTAGATAGTTTTTGACCTTAGTCCATGAGCACACACATCGGCTTCCCATTTTAAACTGACCTGGTCCCATATCCCTTTACCGTTCGTGGAACGAGTAAACACTCGTTTCTGTTCTCCTGATCGCTAATGGTAATGTTATCCATTTTCTTATGAGAGAAACTATCGGCATCCATTAATCGAACAGCCAGTGTCGCTTTAAGTTAAAATTTATAAAGACTTTTTGTTAATGCCATTTTTCAGGAAAATGTGTGTCTCAAGTTTAGTAACTATATTGATGAGAAGGAAGGTTCCTTTTTAACGTTTTTTTTTTTTTAGTAGTGTAAAAATTCAACATCTTGATTATGTCATCATCATCTTTTTCCAATTATTTTCTTTAAGCTTTTCACCCCAAGCAAGGCGAGAAGCCACTAGGACGCAAGGGGTTACAGAAGATTTGGAGCAAGATCAGATAGAAGTGATAGAGGAAAGAATAAGGAGAAGGATAGTGGATAGATCAAGACAACTGGAGATGTCGATTGACATTACATTTGAATAGTTGGAGATTATAGCTGTCATGGAAATTGGAATAGGGAATATGTAGTATTCATTTAACGTGTTATTGCTGTTCAATTTTCTCGAGTGATGAGGTTTCTCTTATTTGGTACAGTGCTTTATTTGTGATTCCGTTGCACCAGTTCACGAGGTTCGGATATTCCTAAACACAGACCGAGAAAAGTCTTCTTTTAAAAGAGTCATGGCATCAAAATTATATCTGCAACTGTGGATAAGGCACTGATAACATGATTCATTTTGGAGCCAAGTATTAAGTTAACCCTGTTTCGATAAGGATGATAACGAGATAAAATGAGGGTAGATAGAGAGAAACCTGCAATGTGAGATAAACTGACAAGTTGGCTTCTATCAGATGGTATATATTTTCCAAAAGAAGGGAGTTTAAAGAATTTGTTGAAGAAAAGAATAGAAAAGCATAAGTAATTCTAATACAGGGCAGCCAGTAAAAAAGCGGCATTTTTTTTTTATCGCAGTTACATCTTCAGAAATAATTGACCTTGAATAAATTTCTAGAATATTTATTCCCTCCAATAATCATTCAACTCTCCTGTAATTACTTAACTCTGATTGGTTCTTTTATGATTGACTAGCAGGATGGCCCGGCGTTGTCTGTGCTTGATTCAAAAATCGTACGACTCATACAGCAATTGCTATCACTTGACTTAAAATATTTTTGCTCTTCCTTGCCTTTAAAGGAGTGCCCTTTGCAGTGCTGATGTTGCTACGTGCCTTACTTCTTGCCTATCTCACACTGCAACTTTTTTCTAAGCTCTATACTAAACATTAAATCTGTTACGAAAAAAGAACTAAACAAAATGAACACAAAACGATCAGCTTTAAAAAAAAGGACTCGTAACTGGAAAAACCGAATGAAAAAAGAATGTTAACAACAAATACTTTTTCGCACCCAATCCAGGTCTGCGGAATCAGAATCAACGTTGAGTTTAAGCAAGCAAATGTGCCAATTGGAGTAAAATGCCATGCAGATTAACATTTTTCACACTTGTGACGAATGCAGCTATCGATTTTCTTTTGCATGCTAGTTAACATTCGTGTCAGTCAGCTGGTGGCTCTCACCCTGGCCAATAGAATCTTTCTGCCTATTTGTAGCAGCCAGCGATAGGCTCTCACTCTGGCCAGTAGAAAATGGCCGCAAACTACATGAAAACTGCCGTAGAAACATGAAAAATTTCCACTATCGATGAGAGTTGGGAAATGCAAAGTCGGTCTTGGCCTTCCCGCTAACTTGGAGCATGTGCATGTAAATTTTGGTGCAAATCCGTCGAAAATTGCGGCCGTGCATTCGTTACACACACACACACACACACACACACACACACACATATCCTGCCTTTTATAGATAGAGATTACTTCTGCTCGATCTTGTGATTCGTCATTTAAGGGTTATTTGCAGACGACTTCCGTCTTTCGTTCTGTCCTTCTCGTATGCCTAAACAACTCACTGATTTTGAGCGTCAAGTTATCTAACTTTTCAAAGAAGAATATCGGACTTAGGAACTGACGAAATGTGAAGAAATTCTTCCTGAATTTTTCAGTCACATCGGTCGTCGCCAATTTACAACGGTTGTAGCACCACTGAATTTACCGCTTTTTTTTTTTTTTTACTGTGCACACTGTAGAACGATGTCGTTCAGATTTCATCAACTTGGGCTTCCATAAAATTCTGTTTCTAAAAAGTGGTATTTAATAACTACTTGTTTCCGAAGTTGAAATCTAAAGTAAAACGTAGACGAGGGAAAAAATAGTTATATATACACGAGTATATGCGCTGGATTGAAATTCTATTGAATGAAGAGGGTAATTCACTAAAAAGCAAAGAACAAAAAATAGACGAAAATGATTGAATCGAAATTGCTAATAGTTTTATTCAAGTGTCTATCCGATCTCGGCTAATTGCATTTAATACGTATCTGATATTAGTGCCGATGTCTCGACGTAAAATCTCGGTTTGTTCGCATTTAAACGTGTTTGTATATATTTTTTCGGCGGGGGGGTTCCAG